ACTTCCTTATGAATTACTTATCGAGGATTTCTTTCAGTATAGAACTATATACTAAGAATTTCATTTATCATTTACTCTTCACTTGTCCCTTTCGCCAAGAATGGCATAACTTATTGAAATCGATTTGGTATTAATCTAAAGGCTTGGTGGACATTGTTACAGAGGTGGGTGTCAAGCGATTCGCAACTAGTCACCTACGCACGCCCTCCAGTGCCACCAATTGCTTCAAAAAAAAAAAAAAAAAATTAACAGAAAAAAAAATTAACATACGACAAGAGCGCACAGTGCTTGTGCCTAAAATAGTTATTATTTATAATTTTTATTGACTCAAAATGCCGAACACACCTTAAACGTTTTCGTTGAACCAAAATCGATACAAACGAGGAGTTCTTTAGCCATTCACACCCAAATCACCCAATAGCCACTGCAATTTGGCTTGAAGTTGACGCAGCCGTTGCACGAGAGATAAATTGAAAATTTGTTTTTACGCCGCTAATTGACAGACAAATCGCACGAGCCTACAATACGTACATACAGCGATAGGCACAAGTGCATGGTAATTTAAAGTAAAACAGAAAACAACAAAAGCGTCAGTTGATTGCAAAAATTCAATTTAACTTTTGCGCATGCGTAGCCAAATCAATGCTATGCCGCCTGCAAAATGATCTAACTTTATATATGCACATATATATATCGATTTGCTAATATATAGTTACATAGCCGAGGTATGTGAGTTTAAACCTTCACTTTATTAACCAAAATGAATTATATGAATTGACACCGTGACACCAAGGCAACAAACAACTATGCGCCGCTAATGCGCCAATGGGCCAATGAGGCTTTTTATGGCCAAGCAAACGGCTAGTGGTCGTTGGTCATACGGTGGTATTTGCGAGTGCATAAATTTCGTTTTGCGGCACATTTTTGTGAAAGGAAGCCAAGTGCGAGTCGCGAATTCGCAGATTAAACAGGCTTAAGGCGACACACTTCTTATTGACTTTCTGCAAATCTACGGTCTACGCAAATAGCTGCGTGTGTACTTAAAAAAAAAAACTATGCAACGCCACTCAAGCGCATTTGTCTCAATGGATTTTTATGCAGAGTCATGTTTAACTTAAATCGCCTTGTCTTTGGCAGCGAAGCCAAGCAGGCCATTAAACGTCGAAGTTGTAAATTATGACAGTTTGCGTGCATTTAATGCCACTTTTTTGTGTTTTTTTTTTCAATATAATTTTTTCAAATATTTCTTTTTTTATAATTTACTTTATATTTTTCTGCCTATTTTTCTAGCATTTATGAAAGAAGTGAAAACCTTCAAAAGGCGTTGGCGACAAACAGCAGTCACCGATTTGGCACGCACACTTTTCACTTTGTTCACAAGCTTCTGTTGATTTGAGTATTTTTGCAGCTACCCACACGCACACGCACACAGCTGTAGGAGTTCATTCAGCAACAACTCGCTTATTCATTCTAGTTTTCAAAATGTAGGTCAGAAAGCACGCATTTTGCATGCTTGTGCGTTTGTTTACATGCCTGTGCGTGTGTGTGGGCTTGTGCTTTCAATCTATGTATATCTAAAGACATAAATATAATGCCTCACTATTTGGTCATTTGTTGCACAGGTGCCGTGGCAACACGCGTTGTGGGCCTACTGACCATTTGCTGATACATTGTTTGCCGCCTTGCCCGTTTTTAACTATTCAATCATTCACTCTAGTCTTTAAAATCTCTTTTAAATGCATACATCTTGTCGACATAACTACTTAAGTACATATGCAGTGCATTGAACAAAGCAATTGCTGAGTTATGAAGACATCACTTTGTGAAAAGCTTGAATAAGAAAAAAGTAAAAATTCAATAAAGTGTAAAGAATGGCGCACAAATGTATATGAAGCAAAATATATAAAGGAGTATATACAAAATAACGTTAGGTATATTAAAAATAAATAAAATAAAAGCAAAATAAAGTAAAATAAATTAAAATAACTTAAATGAAATGAAATGAAATGAAATAAAATAAAATAAAATAAAATAAAATAAAATAAAATAAAATAAAATAAAATAAAATAAAATAAAATAAAATAAAATAAAATAAAATAAAATAAAATAAAATAAAATAAAATAAAATAAAATAAAATAAAATAAAATATAATAAACTAAAAAAATAATTTGAAAAAGTAAATTAATTAATATAAAAGTAAACTAAATAAATTGATATGAAATAAAAAAATTATATAAAAATATAACATGAAATAAAATGAAAAAAAAAATTAATAAAATAGATTAAAATAAAATAATGAATTTAGATTGAATAATATTAAAATAAAATAAATTAAATATAAGAAAATGTATATAAAAAAGTGTAATATTATAACATTATATACAATTAATAATAATTCACTGCTTTAAAAGAAAAATATTGTATTTACATAAGTTGCTGCCTCTAGAGACTTTAGTAGCTTCATGTATATTACAAAATTATTTTATAATGAACTTCGTTTTTTACAGCTTCACACGCGTTTTTCATCAATCACATTGCAGCATGTGGCATGCGCTTATTATCGCTATGGATTTGTTTCCTTATGAGTGATACATTCACTTCTGGATTATAAAATCTGCAATCGCTTTTTTCGGTGTAATGAAGAAAAGTGTGATGACTGAAAAGTGAATTTATGAAAATCATTTCAAATAATTTGCCAATCACTAACGGAACTATTGATTGATATCTCGTGCCAATCATTTGTCAGCTAGTGGCCCACTTACATATAAATATATGACATATATTTATGTTTCTACACATGCAGTGTTCAGTTAATTAGTCATACCTTTCAAAAAATGCAAGTCAATAAATAATACATATTTATATGCACACAATTTTGTTGCACGAAATTCATATTGTCAGCCAAAATTAACTTTACAAATTTATAACAACACTCCGACTCACTGTTGCCCTTTTTTACATACTGGGTTAGCCGTTTTTCTGCACATAGAATTTTAAAATTCTAAATTTTTTGGCGCATGCGTAAGTAATTTGTGTATATTATAATGCAAATACGAGTTTAAAAGCACACAAAAAATACAATAAAATAAAATAAGTAAAGAAATAATAGTAAAAATACGTTAATCGTGCATAACGAAAATGTCAAAAATGAATTTGCGTAAAATGGAAAACGTTTACAATGTTGGTGTATTTGAATTGAACGGCATTTGTTCATAAATATATATGTAGATTTATATCTTTGACTATAAAGGCTTTGTAACTGCTGAAGCGATTTTCGGCCTAGCTCCTCCCCTAATTTGTGGTTTTGAGTCTGGATGTTTTTTCAAACAAATTGAAGGATGCTACAGTTTCTACTATACCGCCTCCGAATGGCTGATGGTTTTTCATGAGGAGTTTTTATTTCATGTCAGAAATACACTCGGAGAGGTTGACAATCCCTGCCGAGGGGCGACCACCACTTCAAAATTAAGCTTAATTTTCTATAACTTTTTGGATGTTAGTCGGCTACTGCGGCCGCCACTTATTACGTTCTAAAATAATTCTATCACTTTTAGGCTTTAGAAGGCACACATCAGTTCTGATTATGAAGTCAGAATATAGAATAAAGGTTTAAGATTTTTTTAAATATGTTTTTTTTTTAGTGAGAATACAAAAATATATAAAAATTTCTTAAAGTTGCTATTTGTATGTATTGTTTATGTTCATAAACCTTCACAACTTCATTTAGAAAGCAAAAGGTCGAAAATAAAGCCAATCAAACTGTAACGTCCACATACAATCTTTTCTAAACCTTTAAAAAAAAAAATATATATAAATAATAAATAAATAATTGAATCAGTAAAAAGTAAGAAAGATTTGGCTAAACAGCAATCAAAACAAATGATAACGAAATCGCACTCGAAACTTATGTAAAGAAAATTAAAAAACATGGTTCGGCCATAAATTTGTAACGGTATAATTATGTATGCTGCCATACTCTACGTTCGTACAACATTAAAGGCACTTTCACTTCGACACCTTCAATTCAATTAAATTGATTTCAATCGCCATTAATTGCCCCACAAATCACTCAAAACGTTGCTCATGGCGTGAACGTACGACCGCTAAATTACATACTTTTGCTGTATTGAGCAAAAGGTAAACGTGTTTGAAAGGGGTTTAGGGCATCTCTCTCGGCCACGTACACCCACTCCAGTGGTCTTTGGTGTTTGCTGGATATTTCTACTTACCCACAGCCCGGCATACATACGTATATATAAATATTATATAAATACAAAGGCGAAGCATAGTAAAATTTGTACTTACTTTAATCAGCTAGTCGACATGCCGCAAAGCAATAAATATTATTAAGCAAAATCGAGAAGTGAGTGGCGCCCGTGGCGATTTTACAGGCATAACACGCTCCAGCTACCAGCACTGGTGTGGGCCGGCGGCAACATACTTACTAAGGGCAAACAAAGATTAAAGAAGTTGAGTAAAAATAAAAATAAAATATATGTTTTGGCGTTAACAAACACTTGCAACAAAAAAATTATACTTTTTTTTTGCAAAAGCAAATTTGAACATAAAAAAATGCATATCTCATTGACTGACAGCAAATGTTACACTTTGACAGCTTAAAAAACGATAAATCACCTGCGCCGTTTCGCTTGAGTCGAGCTACGATAATATGACCCATTTGGCGCGAGCAGAGAGTAACTGTTTATGAATATGAGAATTTAGTATTGTGTTAGGGCATGCATGAGAAATTGGGTAGGTGAAAGAGTGTCTTGATGGATACGGAAAGTAAGCGTGTAAAATAAGACTGCCAATTGTAATTGGAAGCCTGAGAAATGCATTTGAATTTGTTTCGTGTGAAATGAAATGAGCTAATTCTTAGGCAATAAATTACTTGCTTTCAATTCATTATTCTTATGCGAGTATTGCTAATTGTAATTTTTTAATTTAATTATTTTTACTTTTGATTTATTTTTTAATAAATTTTTGTTTATTTTTTCAGACTATTTCTTTTCACTGCGGCCATATTAGCGCCATATTTTACCACAAATGCACAATTTCATCATTTCGGTGAACACATCAACACACATTTGGGCAGCGAATGCGCTTTAGTGCTCTCTGGCCCTGGACGCTCTTCTGTCTACGACTATAATGTGAATCTGTTTCGTGGCACAATGTGAGTTTGTTTTTGTTTCCTTTATTTTATAAATTTTACACTACTTTCCCAACATGGCAAAGCTGTGCACGCCTTATTTTATATTAAAATAATTGTTTATTTTTTATATATTTGTATGAACACTTTGATAAGTGTTGAACATTTCCCACCCAAGTCAAAATCATAATTCCGATGATAAATGATACTTAATCTTCTTGAATTCACTCTCAATCAATACCTATAACTAGCAAAAATTAAAAAAAAAAAATCAAAGGAGTACCGACTTTGGCAATTGCAGTGTCGGCCTTTATTTGTGGTTCTTTAACCTTGCAATCATCCAGAGGCTGGTACGTGCAACCAACAGTGTAACAATTGCACTTAAATGTTATTCATACTGTTCACACCTTGTTTGTAGTTGTACAACAAAAACCATCGACAACTGCAATTGCCTGCAGCAAATAATTTCAGCAATATTGTTAAATATCTAAAATATGAGCTGAAAATACTGTCAACCGTAGCTCAATTCGGAGGTGGGTGTCTCCCAAGAGATTTGACATTGGCAATAAGTCGCATGATATTAAGACATATTAATGAAAATGTAAAAACTATGAAGGAAAAGAGAATAAAACATACTATTGTAAATAAAATGAAATAAAATAAAATAAAATAAAACGAAATAAAATAAAATCAAATAAAATAAAATAAACTAAATTAAAATAAAATAAAATAAAATAAAATAAAATAAAATAAAATAAAATAAAATAAAATAAAATAAAGTAAATTAAAATAAAATTATTTGAAATAAAATGAAGTAATATTTGTGAAGGTTCTAATACAACTTGACATAATTACAGTTTCTAAATAGTTTTCTGCAATACCGTTAATAAAACTTGCGCAAGATGTACAGATATGCACAAAGTTGCATGCAGTGCATGAATACCGCCAATGAAAACAACTAAATTACAAACTCATTTACAAGCGTAATGAATATTCGAATGGCAGTAAAAAAGTGTAACAAACTAATTTTCTGCTTGATTTTGCATACTATTAAAACAAATGAAGCGATAGTATGCTGGTGTCAATAGATTTTTATAAAAGGAAACCAAACAAAATACCAAACAGAAAACGACAAAAAATCTTCTTATTCAATTGTCGGCTGCTTGCAGTTGCAATGTGAGCCATGGTGAGACGCGCCGCGTGCATTGAATGGGTTACCTTCATTGAATCGTAAATGCATTCATAGTTACACAAAACCCTACATAGCATACATATGTATTTACTCTCAGAAAATAATCACATCATACATACTTGAATTCGATGCTGGTGCCATGGCTAATGATGCGATGAGCTCTTTAAAATGCAAGTCGATTTGATGTTCTTCTTAACATACATACACGTGTATCCATAGATATAAACATATGTATGTCTGTATGTCACAAACCATTCATTGTTGATTGCATTGTTGCATAGCAATTGGTGAGAGCGTAGAGATGATACTCACAGTTGGCTTACAGCTACATAGTAATGGCTTGTATGGTACATACAGACATACAGACTTTGTAAGACGATGGATGCGCTTATTGCATCATCGCTTACAGCAGTCACAGCAGCAGCATTCGCCCACCAAACCAAAGTAAGCGTCGAACCGTCAAACCATGTGACCAAACTATGTAAAGTTGTAGCTGATATGCACTTCAATGACTTGTTGGTAACAGGTAACCGATGCAGCTGTTGTGGTTCGCCGCAAATTCGTGGCACAGATGTATCATAATGTGTTACAAATTCATTTACGTATTTGCCGGTGGGTGGTACGTTTCAAGATTATTTCGAAAGTGACTAATAACTCGCTAATGCTTTTATCGAAAGTGAAGCGAAATAAAATATTTAAGAGTATGTGTTTGATAATTCTTCTTAAAACGGGAACAGCCTTGGTTTTTTACAACAAAATTTTATGAAGAATAATCATTATTGTTGCTTACTCATGAGCACCTAGTAAAAACCGTGAGATGCTTACCAAAAGCTCTAATTTTTAACCAGACGGCACGAACAACATATTGGGTGGATAGATTTCAAGCGATGATCCACATAATTCTGGACTTAGAGTAGATGAAAGTGGTCAATATGATGTAGCCATTAAAATACCGTCCTATCTTATAGTTAAGCCGCCCTCTGAGTCTGAAGTTTATTGCTAGGAGGAGAATAAACAAAAAAATAAGACGATCTGTCTCGAAGATACGTATGCCTCTATTGATTTGCTGGACAAACTTCGATGGTCAACCTCCATAAAGGGCAAAAGCCCTTGAAATTTACCTTTTCCTGTCCCCGTCAAACTTGTATGAAAAACTTCGTGTGAGCTGCAAGTCAATGCAACTCAAACATGAAGAAGCCGCGGCACAGAATATGCCCAACTCCACTCTATTACTTCAGAAAGTGGTGGACTATACAACTTCTGTTTTCTATTTAAAAACTACTTTTTTGATCAAAGAACCATAACTATCTTCATCATTGGCGCAAAACTCGATTGCGGACTGACCCAAAAAGTTCACTTAGAACTACTCGCAATTCTCATAAGAATAAGACCACAACAGCGTCTTTCGAGCTGAACTAACCTTAAAATAATGGAAACCTCGTCATGGTTACTCGACTGTAAAATAGTAATTTTTCTAATACAATATATACTGACAGCCAAGATGACATTAAGTCTCTTCAATACTATCACACTATCACAAAGGTGGCATAAAGATGCTTGATCAGTAGGTGGGAGAGTGAAATCTTATGTAACCAGACAGGTCTTGCCAAAGATGTCAATTTCGCCGTCGTTCAAACGGCTGCAGTATTTGCCGTTCCCCACTCGCCAAGGAACATAGATCTTGCGGAAAACTTTTCTGTCGAAAACTCCTAACGTCAGTGGTTGTCATCGTCCATGCTTCAGCACCATAAGGAGAGGACTTAACTTTTCCGTTTTCAATTGCTTGCTTGTTGGCAAGAGTGATTCTGCGTTGGATTTCTAAGCTGACAAATTGGTTGGTGTTGACAAAATGATCACAGCGTTAAAAATTATGGATGTCAACTGTGACGTGGGAGCCGAGTCTCGAATACGATGACTATTGTGTGATGTCTTGCATTCACGCCAGTCCCGTATCCTTCGTTTCATTATCCATGCAGACATAGAAGCGTAGCTGCAGCTTCTTTTGCGTGTGGTAATTGGCGCAGACTGTGCGATGTGGATTGGGCATGATTGCCTCCAATCATATTTGGTTTAGACCACAAAATTCTAGAAATTGTTTTTTTTCGATATTCACGGTTTGGTTCATCATGAATTTTTTCCAAGGAAACAGACGGTCAAATTGAGCACTTTGAAGCGTTTGCGCGAAAACATCCATTGTAAACGGCCGGAATTGTGGGCCAACAATTTTCGCGAACTTTCCTGACGATAATGCGCCATAGCACCGAGCTTTAGTTGTGAATGATTTTAAGACCAAAAACTAGTTCCATATCAACGATCAACCAACACATTCACCGGATTTGGTCCAATACGACTTTTTTTGTTTCCGAAATTCAGGTTACCAGTCCGAGGAACCCGTTTCGTTTCGATTGAGGCCGTAAAGGGAAAAGCGCAGAGGGAACTGTGGTCAACTGATTCCAACAGCTGCCGTAAACAAAATGTTGGACAGATCGGACATAGTAATTAATGAAAGTGCTACCAACTTTACAAAAAAAAAAAATCCTGAAAAATATTCAGAGCGAGAATTTTCGAAAATTTTCTGTTTTTAATGTATATCAGTTCCTCGGCACCGTATTTTAATGGCTCGGCCGGTAATCCATCGATCTCTGCCGTTTTGTGGTTTTTCAAGCGGACGATTGCTAATCGAATTTCTTCATAGTCGGACAATAAATGATCTCAGAAAGAAGGAGTCAGGAGTGGTTTCAACGTTTTAAAAATGGTGATTTCTATGTCGAAGACAGACATGGTGGTGGAAGAAAAAAAACCTTCAAAGATGAACAACTAGAAGCATTGCTTGATGAAGATTCGTGCCAAACCCAAGAACAGCTAGCCGAATCATTGGGAGTGAGTCAGCAAGCCATTTCAAAGTCGCGCGCTGAAAAAAAAGCGGCCACAATATCAAGAGCGACATGACAAAGTCATCCTTCAACACGACAATGCTCGGTCTCTCGTCGCAAAAGTGGTCTAAAAGTACCTGGAAACGCTGAAATGGGAAGTCTACCCCACCCGCCGTATTCCCCAGATGTCGCCCCTTCTGACTTCCACCTATTCCGTTCGATGGCACACGGCCTGGCAGATCAACATTTTCAATCCTTCGAAGAATTGGTAAAAGGGATTGCTTCATGGATACTGTCAAAAGACGACTCCTACTTTCGAGCCGGGATCCGAAAATTGCCGGAAAGATGGGAGAAAGTTGTCGCTAGCGAAGGACAATACTTTGAATAATATATATGTAAGCGCTTTTTCACAATAAAGCTTTTAAATTTGGAAAAAAACGGCGGAAGCAAAGTTGTACTCCTGCTATATAACATCAAAATCGAATTTTGCATTTTGTTATCAAAGATATGAAGACCTTGGCATGGCCGCAGACAGCACTTCTTTCATTCGGCTATAAATAGCAAATGATCAGAATGAGAAAATTATATTTTACATTGAGTCATTATTTGAAGTCGATAAATTAGATTTTTTTTGGAGTTTTCGTGACAAAAAATCGAAACATGTTCGCCGTTCTGTTTTGGTTTGTCTTATTTTCTTTTGAGTCATTAAAAGCAGATATTATCGAAAGAATATTTAAGGGTTAACGCGGAAGCATAGGTAAATCGCTCCACTGGGTTTAATAATGAAATTAATTCATTTCAGTTTTCTCGTACAATTTTCAATTACAAATAGAAATTAAAATAAAGATAATAAATTTGCTTTAAAAATAATTTATTTTGAGCTTAAATTCCACTTCTGATCCAAAAGACCATTCGACGAAATGAAATCGAACAAAGCTTTCGTTATATTTTGAGCAGAA